TTTATTCTAAGGTTATCTTAACAAACAACATCTTGTATCAAATTTACAAATGAAGAACAAAATAACTCAAATTTGTCCTTTTTCTTCATCTTTATATTTAAAAACTTTGGTAAAAATTTGGAAATAGAACGTACAAGAAACGGTAAACTAACATACACGGGGATTGTGTAGTCATGTTGACAGTTTTAAACCTGTTAAAAATAAGATTAATTTCATAAATACCTTATTTCATACAGGTCCGTACGCAGAATGTTTGAAAGGGAGGTTTCTAATTTGTGAGATCAAAACTAACACATATCGTGCGAAGCATAATCAGCACTTAAAGCATGCTAATGCTACGGGGGTCTGGGGACATGCTCCCCAGAAAAAACATAGGTGCTATGAGATTAAATCTGGAAGAATTTTTACATGAAATATAACTTCAACAATTGCATGGCTGTTCACATAAAATTCACAAACATCCAATAAATCCAAAGTCAACAAATCATCATTCTGTTGTAACAATGCATGGGGATCTAGACTTAAGTTAGCATAAATATGTATGCTATATGTATTATCTACATGTAGAGTAGTTATTGATTGTTAAATTATATTACTAATTTAAACAACTCTGTACAACAATAGTATGTTAGCTATCATATATGTACATGTATGCACAACTGAAATAACATGTTAGCATGCTCCATTCTTCTGGGGTGTTTTTCCATAAATAACTTACATAAAGTTTCGATGTTGGAAGCAGTGTCATAATGATTATGTATTAAAGCTAGAGCACTCAGTCTTTCTTCGGCTTGTGTACACCTCAGGTAAATATTCAACCGGTGGAGAGCAGATGCCGAACATTCACACGAACATGAATTAAGTGGTAGTATTTTTTTACATCACATTCGTGCATGTCATAGAGGTCACATATTACCAGTGGCTGTCATATTTTTCATAAGAAATATAAAAGGTTAAAAATGTTGTATTAAAGAACGGTTTCGATCTATCATTACTTAACAACATGTTCCAAAAACTATCATTATACGTCAGTCTCCTACTTAAGTGTAAATACAGTTAGATTTTGAGAAATGATATCAAAAATATTTTGGCATCAAACTATCCTAAAGTTCCAGTATGTGTAACTTTAAAATCTGTGTTGAAAAACAGAATTCTTTCAAGATAAAGGACAGAATTAATAAACTTCAACGCTCATATGTTAAGCGATATGTTCACTATCGATGTGGACAATATTGTAGGATCAAACACGCAGTGTGTGAAGAAGTGTATAAAAGAGCATCTGTATATAAGTCGTTCGTCAAAAGTCTCCAGACATTTAAACCTAGGAAGTGGTGAGAGGGCGGATGAAAATAACTTTGATATAATAAGTGAAGTTACTATGAAATAACTAGCAGTTTTTCTTTAAACATTTAATTTTCATTTGCTGTTCTACATTTCTAAAACAATCTTAATTTTGTATATTTGCTGTTTATTTCTAACTTAATAAAGGTTTAAGTTACATTATAAACGCCGAAAACCACCGAAGCATTAGAAATAGGCCTACAGGTCTGTCATGGTATCTCGTTAAATGCAGATGTTTATCTCTCGTTCATATTCCTCTTAATTTGTTCATTGCAGATTCAAACTCAGTGGACAAATTATAAGAAGTCTGAAAGAGAAAAACTGCAGATTAAGTGAATTTTATCACGGTTCATTTTATTATAATAAGTTTGTTTCTGAATTTTTCGCAAAGCTACTGTGCATAGTCATTTTTAATTGTTTTAACTTCATTCTAAAACGAAATGTAATCAACAGTACCCATCGCCATCTCTTGCGCTACATTTGTCTAATCGAATAAAAGTTTATCTTATCACCAAGAAAAAATCTTTTTACACTGTTACGTATCTGCTTGTTTGTTAATTTCCCGTAGAAATTCTTCCCGAGAAACTTCAGCGATACGAGTTCTTTC